GTAAATCGTCAAAATAGAACTGTCCGACTTGATGCTCCAATATCGGATTCTCTTACCAATATCAGTAATATAATTTAATTAAATTTTCTTTATTATAATTTAATACAATTGTTTAATTTGTGATAATTTTTTTTATTTAATATATAAATAGGCATGGAAGAAATTCATGCAAAGATGACTTCTCGGCAGAATGAAATGAAGTTGTATATGGAGGTAGCAGAAATACCGCTTAGTGGCTTGGTGCATAGCAACAGTTTATATTGGTCTTTCAGATTTTCTACTTTTAAATTTAAAACTTATATTATAACTACTTCTGTAGACATGGTTTCCTACAAATCATATAATGGTTTTATTGGTTTTCATCAAATATTTTGATCCTGATAAACAGGCTTTCGAGTAAGATTTTTTTTTTTGCTAAAGTTTGGCATATACATTATAATCAATGTAAGTAAAATATTAATATATCTAACCATATAGAGGTCTAGGTCATTTATATGTACAAAAGTTCGGTAAGGTAGGCGACATTACTCGTTTTTTACGTGAGAAAAAGAACTTTTCACCAGATACTCCTTTGAAAATATATGAGGTATACAAGTCTACAAGTTTTATATTTTATTTATAAATTTCTTTTAACATTGTTTTACTTATTAGGAAGTCAAACCAAACATGATTGTAGAAATGAAACTCAAATCCACTTTTCAACAATCAGAGATACAAGATGGCGATATAATTTGTTTTCAAAAGGCTTTAACAGAAAAAGAGTATGTATTGACACTATATACACCTTTTTATATTCTATAATAATATTAAAAAATAAAAAAATATTTATAATTTTTAGGATCCAAGAGCGTACAACATCTGGTCGTTATTGGGATATTCCTCATTTTTATGAATCACTAACTTTACGTATTGTTGTTTCTTTCAAACCAAAATTGAAATATCGGGATCCAAACCCTGAATTTGATCTAGTTTTGAATAAAAAATGGACATATGATCAAGTATTTTAATTAATTATCTGTTATAATTTTGATATGATTTATCGTTATTATTTTTTCGTCATTTAATATTTGTTAATGTAGATTGCTGGAGCAGTCGGCACTTATTTGAACACGGATCCTCTTAAATTACGATTTACCACAGCACATTCGACATCTGGTACACCAAAAAGTGACATCAAACAAACCACCGCTCATACCCTTTCAGAGATGCTTCAAACTGCATATTTGTCACCACCGGTTCATATCTTATTCTACGAATTAGAAATGAAAGAGCCCACCAAAGTTTATTGGCTTGGAAGCACAGTTAAAAATGAGGTATATTCCGTTTATTCATTTAGGGATATTTTATTTAACTTTATAAATTTGTTTAAAAGACAACCATATAAAAATTTTCAGATAGTCATTTATTTTCGTCTTCCAAATAATGGGATTATTAACGATATCATAAAAGTAATCTTAAAAAATGAAAAGGTGACACTATCATCCCCAAATTCTAGAATCAGGCTATTTGAAGTTTATCACAATAAGATTCAAAAGGAATATACAGAAACAGAACCAATAGAGAGAATACATGAATATGCGACATTATACGCAGAGGTGATTATTTATGATATGAATTGAGTATATTTTTTCGTTAAATTATTTTACCCACAAATATACATATATTAATTATAGGAAATACCTCAAGACGAAGTTCATGCTGATCAAAATGATCGAACTATTCAAGTGTATCATTTCACAATAAATCCGATACGCATACATGGAATTCCGTTCAAGTTTGTTATTAAAAATGTAATTTATTTATTAAAAATAAACAGTATAAATTTCAAGAATCTAAAATTTTGATTTTATTATTGACTTAGGGCGAGACACTTGAAAATACTAAAGTACGTCTTCGACATCGGCTTGGTATGAGTAAAATAGAGTTTTTGAAAGTAAAAATTGCAATTGTACCTGGAACCTCATACGTAAAACCGGAATATCTTGAGGACGATGGTGAGTTAATAAGAATATTTTGTTCAATCGCTTATTTTAATTTATTAATTATATATGATTTTTATATGATTCTATTAGATATAATCTTATCGGAAAAGAAATTATCTAATGAAGAATGTCTGGGACTTGATCACCTAGATAAAAGTCTTACGGAGAAAGTTATTTTTATTCGAGGCTAATATATTGATTTTTTTATGCAACATTATCTTTATTTTATAAATGAATTGTACCATTAAGTTTAACATCTTGTTACGTCCGTCCACCCATAATATAATTCACCATCCGTAATATATAATATTGTATTTTAAGAAAAATAGTTTATTATGAAATTATGAAATTTTTAACGTTAGTTCTTGTAAATTATCGAAAATTATAATCCATAAAAATCTATTTAACTTGTATATCGTCAGGTATATTCAAAAATTTCTTTTTAAAATTGGGTTTCAATTTATCAGCAAATATCTAAATATCCTAAAATGTAAATACCTGATGAATTTTCTATGTACTCTTTTGCTGCAGATGTTATATTTTAGATTCTCTATCACAATCATACAATCATTTAGATGTTTGTTCATTAATTTTACATTCAGTATATTCAGTATCATTATTGTAAGTGTTCTTGTCTTTGCACTTGCAGTAATCAAGCTTTACCATACTGTATACAGTGTGTTGCAAATAGGGATTGGAAGTTAAAAGAGTAAAATTGCGATAGATGTATCAAATATTCAAATGGGCAAAATAAAACGCGTTAAACGTAAAATTTATATCTTTAACCGGTTATTATCCGGTTAAACGTTCCGATTAACCGGTTTTTGACCGGTTAAGGTTCTTTTGGACGGTTTATTCATAAATATTTGATAAATTGTAAATACACAATTTATATAAATAATGTAAATATAAATACTAGTAAAAATGATAAAATTGAAATAACGAAGACGATTGGTTGTTCTTAACCTATTTTCTCTAAAAAGACTTTATAGATAACATTTCAAGTATTTAATTATGATATTTATTTACCTTATTAGCTAGCAACTTAAATACTTTGAATTTCTTTTAATAAAAGGAAGATTGTTGTCTTGATAACTCAGATTGAGACTCTTATATGTCTCTATGGTCAATATCATCCATGTTGTATAAAAAATAAAAAAAAAATAACTTAAAGGTTCTGAATTAAAAATTATCTGATATAACAATCTTCATATAAGTTAACCGGTTAATTATTCGGTTAATTTAATCCCTAGTTGCAAAAAAAACCGGAATTAAAAAATCGGCCATAACCCCATGACGATCTCACCAAATTATACGTAAAATAGCTTATTTGAAAGATGGAAACCCATAGATTTTATCAACAATAAATTAATATGGAATTTATTTTAGTAATTTTTCTTATTTAAAAATTTTTATAACTATTTTAGAGCAAATTTATATTTTTTTGCATAAAATACTTAATATTATTAAAAAATTTTTTCTATACGCAATTTTCCCATTTATCTTGATAAAATTTGAGAAATTTCTAATGAATTTGCATCTATTTTTTAATATATGAATTTCATGTCAAATTTTTCTTTAAAATCAACATTTGTAGTTAATTTGCTCAAAAAGTAAAAATGTACTAGAGTCCTAAATGATGTCAAAATGTGGCCCCAATATTCAAGTTTATTTTGCATTTTAGATGATAAAAATTGGTCTTGTTTTAAGTAAACTACACACATTTTGTAATTTGAACCATTTATTAGCATTTTTTACTATATACCGAAATTGTGATAATTTAAAGAATAAAACTCTCATCATTTTATCATAAATGTTTATTTACTGCAAATTTTTTGATATTTATTTTTTGGCATTATTCTTAATAATATTTGAGTATTTTAAATTAAATCTAATCCACCAATGTTTTATAAATGTAATTTAATTTTCTGTTATATTTTTTATTTGAAATAAATAATTATTGCTGATTATTTCAAAAGATAATGAAGTGTTTAATAACTTTAAAAGATACCAAAATGTAGCCTTGGGTCTCAGGTTTACATAATGTAAATTGAATTTATTTTGGGCGTATAACTTAAACTGTTTATTATGTACTAACTACTTAGTATTAACTTATTGATTTTATCATTTTACGGTCGTATAGCATGTCCAAATTATATTTTATCTTTTATAACTTAAAATCTTTCATATTCTTCTATATTTTGGTAATTAAATTTACTACCATAACGAGTAAATTTATCATAAATATCGCAAGCATTTGGTCTTTCATTTGGAATTTTGGATCAGTGTTGTATTAATTCAATATATATAACTTTCAGGTATATTTGTGATGTATTTTAATACATTTAGACTTGTATTCCAAAACGGTCTTCTACCTGTTATTAATTCCCACTAATCATACTAAAATTATATATTAGCATATTTTTATCACAAAGAATTATTTAATAAACCTCTTTATCAATTATCATCATCTTGATGATTCAATTGCAGATTTGCTTATTCAAAATCACCTGTTTATATTAAAAATATTTCCACTGCGATAATCTTTATGGACGATATTTCGTTATGTAGCATTTTAAGCCCTTCAATCATGTCTTTTATTAATTTATTTTCCCAACTGATATTAAAAAAATTCTTAGTTATATTATTTTTTTATATTTATTTGTAAATTAATAATTTATAAGAAATCTTATGATATCCCTGGATTTCAATTTTCAAGGTTAAATTAAAAAACACTTATTCATAGTGTAAATCATAATAATTACTTATTTAAGACTTTGGGTAGTACAAGGTATCATGTCAATCATTTCAAGCTCATTTACCATAAAAAGAGTGAAAATTATTTGTTCACGGAAATTTTTATTTTAGCATTGTACGAATAGTATTTAAAGAAAACTATTTAGATATTGTTTTACGTTTGTATTTACAATTAAATTAATTAAATTTCGAATAATATCATGGTATGTTAAACTATAGTGAAGTTTAATAGGAAAGTACTTGAATATTTTATTTTATTTTATTTTATTTTACAAAAATAATATATGTATAACGAATAGATCATTAACAACTATTTCTATCATAGGAAGACAATAATAATATGGATGTTTTTGACCAAACAACTATCGATGATATGTCAGAAGAGGAGGATATAACACCATTGCCCGTCACAGATTGTATGTTAATTATACAAATATTGTATTTGATTTATTATTTAACTGACATATTTGTTGAAGTTTGGATTTAGCTTGAACCTTTTTATAGTAGTCAAATAAATTTTTTTTAACCATACCATATAATGTGTAATACTCATAAAAATCCAAATCCATCTTCCACATTCCTTAGGTATATAATTTAATTTGATGCACTATTACTAATGTTAACCAAAATTTTATTTATATATTATCACAGATGAAACTATGGCAAATAATATTATGCCCGATCTAGGTCAAGAGATAGAAGACTTTAAATATAACACATGGCATGTAACAAATTGGCGGAATTTAGAAGAGAGAATAACAGGGCCAGAATTCGAAGCTGGAAATTGGAAATGGTGTGTTGTAGTAAAATTGATAAGTCATCAAACATATTAAACTAATTTTTAAATTATTCTTTTTAGGCGAATTTTACTATTTCCCTTTGGAAATAACAATCAAGATGTCGTTTCTATTTATCTTGATTTTGCTGATATGAGGGCTCCGGAAGGTTGGCATTCCTGTGTTCAATTCGCTCTTGTCTTGTGGAATCCTGAAGATCCAACGCAATATATTTATCATCGTATGTATAAAAATTAAATTTTTAAAGCATCTATTGAGTTACACTCTACGAGCCTTTTTTTCGTGCTATATTTCTTTTGTGTTGGAATTTTTGAATTATAGACGCGCATCATCGATTTACTGCCGAAGAATCGGACTGGGGATTTACACGGTTTTATTGCTTACGCAGACTGTTAACCCCTTATGGAAGCCGAACACGTGCAATAATTGAAAATGATTCGGCCAATATTACGGCGTTTGTGCGAGTATTCAAGGATCCTACAGGTGTCTTATGGCATAATTTCATTAAGTAGTATATTACCTCATTATTTCTACTATTCAAAGCTTGATCCGTAAATATTCTTTTTTATCATAATCATCAATATTTCTGGCGTTATGTTTATTTAACCTCCTCATATAGTTATGATTCAAAGAAAGAGACAGGATATGTAGGATTGAAAAACCAAGGTGCTACAAGTTACATGAATTCACTACTACAGTCACTTTATTGTACGACTTATTTCCGTAAGGTACTAATAAAAATATTGTAAATTAATGGGTTTATATCTAAATTTAATATCTTTTATTTATTTATAAATTATAGGCAGTTTACCAAATTCCCACAAAAGATGACGTACCAACAAAAAGTGTCTCTTTGGCATTACAACGAATTTTCTATCAATTGCAGATATCGAATACTCCGGTTAAAACGACGGAATTGACGAAATCTTTTGGATGGGATTCAGCAGATTCCTTTGTACAGCACGATGTACAAGAATTTAACAGAGTATTGCAAAATAATCTTGAAGGCAAAATGAAGGTAACTACTGTATTATAATTTCTTCTTCGTGTTTATTAGTAGCTAGTGAAAATTCTTTACGGCATATTAATTTTTTATTAGAATACAAAAGCCGATGGTGCGATTACCAAGCTTTTTGTTGGTAAAATGAAGAGTTATATCAAATGTGACAATGTGGATTATGAGTCCTCTTGTGTTGAAGATTATTATGGTAATAATAAAAGCGTTTCTACAATAATATTTTTTACATAATTAATAGTTGTTTAAGATATAAATATTAGAATTTAATTATGATTAGATATTCAGCTGAATGTGAAAGGTTGCAAGACTTTAAGAGATTCTTTCAAGGATTATATTCAAGAAGAAACATTGGAAGGCAATAATAAGTATCAAGCAGAAGGTCATGGGTTACAAGTGAGTTGAAAGTGAACGTTATTAATTTTTTATTGGATTACTTGAAGATACTTCTAACTGATTTTATGTTACGCAGGATGCCAAAAAAGGTGTTATCTTTGAAAGCTTCCCTCCAGTTTTACACTTACAACTTAAAAGATTCGAATATGATTACCAAAGTGACACAATGGTTAAGGTGACATATACATTTAAAAATGTTTTATGATAAAATGATCTCTTTCTTACCGAATTCTTATAATATAGATTAATGATCGTCACGAATTTCCGATGGAAATTGACTTAGAAGAGTTTCTATCGGAGAATGCAGATAGATCAAGTCCTCATAAATATCTATTACACGGGTTCGTTTATAATTTTTACATTAATTACTGCATTATATTGTTAATTATTCTAGATCTTTTTTAATAATTATTTATTATACAGTGTACTTGTTCATTGCGGTGATTCACATGAAGGCCACTACTTTTCTTTACTTAAACCTGAAAAAGATGGCAAATGGTTTGTTATATACCATTTAAATAATTTTTTATTTTTAGGAATAAAAAAAAAAATATTTCCAATCAGAGTGCTCATTCAAAGTTGAAATATATATCATAGGTTTAAATTTCATGATGACCGCATCACTCGTGTAGTAGATAAGGAAGTACTTGAGGATAATTATGGTGACGAATATCCAAATGCCAATATTATTAAAGTTCGTTCAACTAAGATTCATAAACGATTTACCAACGCTTACATGTTAGTCTATATTCGTGAATCACATGTTGACGAGATATTGTCCCCTGTAGTTCCCGAGGATATACCTGAACATTTACGTATGCATATGCTTATATATTTTTAAAAATAATTAGGTTAAGAGTGATCGTAATACATTTATTACTATTTAATAGAGAAACGTTTGGAACAGGAAAGGGCCATTGAGGAACAAAAGAGGAAAGAGATGGAGGAGAGACATCTTTATCTTACCGTCAAGGTGATTGTAAAAAAATTTTTTTTTTTTTTTTATTTAGAAAGCTGTTTTTTTTTTAATAATTTAAACTGAATTTTACAGATTGTGACTACTGAAAAATTCAAAGTTCATCAAGGATTTGACCTTGCCAACTTTGATGATCGTCAATATCCACTTTCTGAAGTGTATGTGTATAAGATTCTAAAAAGTGATACCTACAGGTCTTTTAAAGATTTTGCTTCTCGAAATTTCAATATTCCTCCAGAACGAGTAAGATTCTGGGTTTTTGTAAATCGTCAAAATAGAACTGTTCGACTTGATGCTCCAATACCAGAACTTTATATCAATACTAGTAATATAATTTTAATTTAATTTTTATATATTTACTAAGATTTATAATTCTAACCTTTTATTAATCGTTTTATTAATGAATAAATAGGTATGGAACAAATTTGTGCAAATATGACTACTCGGCGGAATGGAATGGAGTTGTATATGGAAGTAGCAGACAAGCCAATTAAGCGCAAGGTGCGTAAATGTTTTACTAGTCCTTTAGATTTTCTACTTTTAATTTTAAAAAAAACTATTTTTATAGAAATGGTTCCCTACTGTTCCGAAAGCAAGTCGCATAATTGTTTTCCTCAAATATTTTGATCCTGACAAACAGACTTTAGAGTAAGATTTTTTTATGCTGAAATTTTGTATATACGTTATAAGCAATCATATAAAAATTAATATATTTAAAACATAGAGGTCTAGGTCATTTGTATATACAAAAGTTCGGTAAGGTGGGCGACATTACTCGCGTCCTATGTGAGAAAAAGGAATTTCCACCAGATACTCCTTTAAAAATTTACGAAGTATGCATGTCTATATTGTTAAGTTTATATAATTTTGTTTTATAAATTTTCTTTTAACATTGTTTTAATTATTAGGAAGTCAAACCAAATATGATCGAAGAAATGCATCTCGAATTCACTTTTCAACAATCAGAGATACAAGATGGTGATATAATTTGTTTTCAAAAGGCTTTAACAGAAAGAGAGTATATATTAACATTATATGTACACTTTTTTGTAATGTATAATAACATTATTAAATATTTTTATAACTTTTAGAATCCAAGAGCATAGATCAGTTTGTCGTTGTTGGAATATTCCTCATTTCTATGAATCATTGGCCTTACGTATTGTTGTTTCGTTCAAGCCAAAATTGGAAGATCGGTATTTAAAACCCGAATTGACTTATGAGCAGGTATCTTATTCTGAATTTGACCTAATTTTAAATAAAAAATGGACATATGATCAGGTATATATCTTTGATATAATTTTGATATAATTTATCAGTATTTATTTTTCATATTCTTAATTTTTTTCATATTCTTAATTTCATTTATTATTAGGTTTCTGGAGCAGTTGCCACTCATTTGAATACGGATCCTCTTAAACTACGATTTACCACAGCACATTCGACATCTAGTACACCAAAAAGTGTCATCAAACGAACCACCGCTCATACCCTTTCAGAGATGCTTCAAACTGTATATTTGTCACCACCAGCTTATGTCTTATTCTATGAGATGCTGAACATTAGTATCGTAGAATTAGAAACGAAAAAGTTCATTGAAATTTATTGGCTTGGAAACACAGTTAAAGATGAAGTATATTACGTTTATTCATTTAGTGATATTTAATTTTAATTTTATTAGTTCCGTTTAAAAACCACCATCTAAAAATTTCCAGGAAGCAATTGATCTTTGTCTTCCAAAGAATGCAATTGTGAATGATATAAAAAAAATCCTAAAAAATGAAAAGGTGACACTATCATCACCATGCTCTAGAATCAGGCTATTTGAAGTTCATCACAATAAGATTCAAAAGGAATATACAGGAACCGAACCAATAGAGAGAATACAAGAACATGCGACATTATACGCAGAGGTGAATATTTATGATATGAATTGGATATCTCTTTCGTTAAATTATTTACCCACAAATATACATGTATTAATTGTAGGAAATACCTCATGATGAAATTTATGCCAATCAAAATGATCGGACTATTCAAGTATATCATTTCACAAAGGATCCGTTATGTTTACATGGAATTCCGTTCAAATTTGTTATTAAAAATGTAATTTATTTATTAATAATTAACAGTATAAATTTCAAGAATGTAAAATTTTGATTTCTTATTGACTTAGGGCGAGACACTTGCGGATACTAAAGTACGCCTTCGACATCGGCTTGGTATGAGTGAAATAGATTTTTTGAAAGTAAACATTGCAATTATGCCGAGAACCTCATACGCAAAATCGACTTATCTTTTTGGCGATGGTGAGCTAATAAGAATATTTTATTCAATTGTTTATTTTGATTTATTAATTGTATATAAATTTTGTTAGATATAGTCTTATCAGAAATGAAATTATCCAATGAAGATTGTCTGGGACTTGATCACCCAGATAAAACTGGTCGTACGGAGAAAGTTATTTTTATTCGAGGCTAATATATTGATTTTATAAATGAATTGTTAAGTTAATCCACTCTTTAACATCTTGTTACGCGTCCGCCCACACCTCATCCGTAATACATAATATTGTATTTTAAGAAAAATAGTTTATTATAAATTTTTCGAATTAGTCCTTGTACATTATTCCTTGTAAACTTGTAAAATTATTGAGAGAATTATAATCTATAAAATCCATTAACTCAAAATTAAATAATCGGAAATTCGGATTAAATTTAAAATTTTTTTTAAAATTAGTTTCAATTTATCAAATGGTTTTCTGAAATTTGCAAATATTTAAATATCTTAAAATGTAACGTTTTTTGTTTTATTTCAAAATCAAAATTAAATTTATTTCATTGACTAGAATCATTTAGAATGTTTATTAATTTACATTCAATATCATTATTGGAAGTGTTCTTTTGCAGAAAGCTTTACCTGAAGTAAGCCTTGTACACAATTTAACCGATATTTCAGAGTATTTATTTCCGACAGGAAACGAATAAGTAAAAAATAAAATAAATAAAACAAAAGTGCAGTATTGCAGTTATAAAATAAATAAATAAATAAAGCCATATGACATCCCACTAAAAAAAGGCAATTCCCGTATCTTAAGCTTTAATCCGCTTTCCTATTTTTTTTTTAAAATAAGTAAATTTATATAATAAATATAAAAAATTGTTTTCGCTAATAATATAAACTATTTACTTACTATCATATTGAGTTTCAATTCTTAGTTCTTCCATATGACGTTTTCTTGAAGAATTTTTAGTCGGAAAATCTTGAACATTAGTAATATGAGTAGTACTAAAGAATTTTTTTTTTTAAAAAAAAAAATGAAATAAAAATTTAATGTTAAATTTCAATTTTGGTTTTGTTTCTATAAATTAAATCAATAATACCTTTGTTGACTTTGCGTATTTATATCGTAATCGTACTCTTTTGTAATGTATTCTAAAAGTAGTGAGAATATAAAATAATAAATATATCAGATATTTAAATTTATTGATTTTCAAGAAAAGTGAAATGATCCAATTTTTATATACCGAATAAAGAATTGTTAGAAGAAATTCTAGAGGTATAAGTAGCATCAGAATGAAATTTTTCAGTAAAATCAGGGCCAAGTTTCTTCAATTTAATCAACTCTAATCGTTTTTCTTCAGCCTTATTAAATTGCACATTACACCTTTCTTTCGCAAATGACAAAGCTTTATAAATTTCTGATACAGTAGGTCTTTTTGCAGGATCAGAATTCCAACAACTTTCCATTAAATTAGAAATACATTCAGGAGTATCACTCGTAATTTCAGGTCGGTCTCCATCAATAATTTTATAAACGAGGCTAAAATCATGCTCACAATTTGAAAATGGTTTGCAACCTGTCGTTAATTCCCACACAATCATACCCATACTATATATATCAGATTTTTTTGAAAAAGCAACACCATTAAATATCTCAGGTGCAATATATGGTAATACTCCATATATTTCATTATTATTAAATGAAGTATTATTTGTAGATTGTGATAACCCTAAATCACAAATTAACCAAGATGAATTATCCAGCAATATATTTCCACTGTGTAAATCTCGATGTATAAAATTTCTTGTATGGATAACATTAAGTCTAAAAATAAAAAAGAAATTGTAATGTACTTATACAGCATATTGAAATAAAATAATAAAAAATTGATCCATTACCCCATGGTGATTTCTAATAAAATATTTAACTTCATTTCCCATGTAATATTTGCAAAATTATTTTGTAAATAATCATGTAAATTTCCTCCATTTGCATATTTCATTACTAACATATATTCCTTTGTATCAGGATCTTGTGTAACTCCAAAACAACTAATGATGCGACCGTTTTTATGATATCTATAAAGCGAATTTAACTAAATACAGTATAAAAATATTATTTAAAACAAATCTATTAAAGAAAATGAGTCCAATATAAAAAAAAACAATAATAATTACCTCATTTAAAAAATATTTCTCCATATCTTGTGTGTTTAGATATCTTTTTATGGCAACTGTTTTAAAATATTTCATACTATTATATTTGCGAAATAAACAAGTTGCTTTATAAATAATACTAAAACCTCCTGCCGCTGTCTTTTCCAATTTTGTAATTTGAGAATATGGAATCCATTCTATTAATGGTTTTAAAGAGAAATAATCACTCTTATATTTAAAAAAAAAATTATATATCTCAATTGGATTTGAATTTTTATCAACAATGTGATTATTCAAATTAGAAGCAATTTTCTGATTAATTTCTTCTCTTGTAGAGGCAAAAAATTTTTCTATAATAATGTTTCCACTATTAATAATTGTGATATCAATAGTAATAGATGATTTTCTTTTACATTTTCTACATTGAGATTGATCCGGAATTCCAAAAATAATGTTTGTTGTTAAACAATATCTACATCCAATATAAAGAGTATAAAAGCAATTTGAACACCATTTTTGACAATCATTTATGAAATTTAGACTTTGTTTACAAACAATACAATTACTACAATTATCCCACCATGGTAAATAAAGAATTGGAACATATTTATTAGTAAAAGTTGATTGTATCCATTCATAAGAAATTTGATAACAATATGGGCATATTCTAAACAAATATGTTTGTTGAGGAATTAATTTCCCACATAACTTACAATTCTCACTTTCTTCTAATTTTTGTTTTTCATAACGAAGATGGAATGAAACTATTTGTTTAAAATATGAAATTTTGTAATCATTCTCAAATATTTCTTGAATATTTTGTGTGCTACGTTGAATATCATTTTTACTTATACGTATATCTAAGTATGTATCACTACTTGTATCTTTAATATCTTTAATATCTTTAATATACTTAAGAAAGCAAATTTTACAATATTTTTGATTATATAAAATTGTCAAGGAATATTTATTTCCGCAATGACTACAGTCAATCTGGGACCGATTAAAAGAAATAAACAAAATTGGTAAAGGGCTAGATTTTAATTTTGGCGTTGAATTTGTACTTGTGATTTTCAAATATGACGACATATTTTGAATAATAAAGTTGAATATTAGATATTGTTTATGTGTTGATTGTTTGGAACCGATTATATAGTTTGCAAACTCCGAATTTTAAGTTTACTAAACAAATATGCACTGGTTACGCCGGTTTTTGCCGATATACATATAATATAACAAATATAGTAAATTTTTATTTATGGTAAATTTCCAATTTTCGATTTTCTGATTGATTTATACATCCATTTTATTATAATTTTAAAAGTGGTTTCATTGATTCTTTCAAAAAATTCTATTTTTATTAATTTGGAATCTTTTTTTTTTAATGCCATTATTAACTTACCATATCAGTAGTAAATCATCACAAACTGGGAATTAATAGTATAAATATTATTATATCATTGCAAAAATAACCAAATTAGTTTATCAATCGGTTTGCAATATAGTGACGGGACCGTTAGAAAGTCTGAAGTGAGCTTCATAGTGTTATTTTTTAGTATAATTAATGATGGATCGCAGAAAGTCAATAACATTGCCAATGATATGTATGCTGTCTCCCATAATGATAATGCACTGAAATGATGAGAAAAAATCTATGCAATTAACATTTCTTTTATCTCAGCTCCTTTAATTCATCAATTACATCACCCGTCCATATTATTTTTTCTATGGGAAATTTTATAATTTCATTCATATCGTGACTGCATCGATGATACATTCCTTTTGCAAGTTCAATTGGCGGAAAAACGCTCATTATACAGTATACAGGCGCACAGGTTTGATGGCAGCCATTGTTGAAAATTCTGGTAAAAATTTTTTTGGTCAAGTTTAGTAAAAATGGAGAATTAACATTTACTGAAAAAAGGTATTAAGGTAAAATAGTTTGTTTCTAAAATCTTTAAAATTGAACTTTTAAATGTTTAGAAAATTTAGCTAATATTTAACTATTTAAGTAATTGGTTTTGGGAATAGAAGTTGATTTTTATTTATACTTTTCTTTTTAATTTTTATTACTAACCTTCCTTTTTTTAGGTTTCAGCGATTCTCTAAAAATGAAGGTTGGTTTCGATGATGCTTCCATTTTTTTATTTCTTTTTTGTACTCATTCTGGGTAATTTGCAAATATTGTTAGTTTTTTTTTTCTTTTTATTGTGTTTTTCCTTTTACTAACTCTTGCTTTAGGTTTTGAGTAATTAAAGATTGGTTCTTATGATTTCATTACAGTTTTCATTTTTCTCTTTTTATTAAATTCAGTTTCCTTTACTAACACTTTTGAATGATGGTAAATGTAAGGTGCATTTTTTAAGGAAATTTAAATTTTAACATTTATTATTTTAACCATTAAAATCTTTTTTTCTTAGCTTCATGGCGTTTGGTAGGGTGAAGGTTTAAACTTTTTTTGTTTAATTGATGTTTTTGATTTATAATTTTCATATTATGCAATTTATTAAAACATAATAAAATTTCTATTATTTACAATAATTATTAAATTGAATATATCTAACCTTGTGAACGCTATATAAATGTTTAATTGTGTATTTAAACTAGTCTAATTGGTAAACTATATAATCTATTGTTAATGATTATTGAAATGTGATAAAATTAAACAATTGACAAACAAGAAAATTGTTTAATTTGTTATAACTCACCCAAGAAAATCGGTAAATTTACCATAAATTCAAAGTCGAAACGTTTCAGTCGTTTCATCCATCAAGTGGTAAAATCTAAACCTTTTCGATAGGTTGATACTGAGGCGGAATTGCAAATTCTTTGATCATGTGATATAATAAAATTGACCAATAGAATCAAAAGTCATAAAGTCATATGATACTAACGATCAATGAAAAATTCACATTTGTTTTTAACGTAGTTGTTCAGTTTTTATGGGTGTTACTATCAGACTCTTGTATCAAGTTTCTATGTAGTCATTACCGATGCTGTTTTTTACTCCTCGTTATAAAAATAAAATAAAAATAAAAAAATCATAGTAATTCTTTTTTTTTTTACACGTAACGGTAATAAAAAAATTTCACCGTATAAAATGGATCAACTTTAATGTGTATTTAATGTGTATTAATAGATAAAATCCATGAAATTAAAATGAACACAATGGTTCCCTACTTATTATCTAGCTAAATAATATTATAATACTACAAACATAAAACTGGAAATTATACAAATATAAATTATGATTAATTATTTATGCTTTATAATTTTATGGTTATTATTCCAAATCCTTTTTGCCTTTTCTTCCATACAACATTTGACCTGCATTCTCCATGACCTCACAAATATTTTTTGGATATTGTTATTAACTAATATAATTTGGATTTTCATAAATCACCAAAGCTTTCCGTCTGTTAAACATCCATAGAAAACAGATGTTAGAGGTTGTTCTGCTGTAAGGCCCTGGCATACTTTATTAGTTGACCTTTCCCTTCAGTTAAATTTGAACCATCAGTTACATCATTCTTGACTTCCCATCCAGACCCTTTGATAATATGGAATTTATTTGTAAGGCCATCTGTAAGATTTTTTTCCATGTATTTCAGACTTTAATGCATTTCATCCCATTAATACATATGGCCATCCTTATCTAATATCTAAATAACAAATCCAGAATAATCTATAAAAACTGGTTGAACATCAGTAGTTCGTTAAACCCTTTTTTAAATTGTAAATATATTTACATAAAAAAATTAAAGTATTTCAAAGAAATACGATTAATGCCAAATTTTTCATTAAGATACTCAATATATTTCACATTTACAAAGTCCAATGAATCTCTAATCTCTAGTTGTGGTTTGGTGAAATCCAAGATGATTATTGTTATTCAGTTGTTTAAGATAATTCTGACATGTTCTGCAATTCTGATAAAATGGTGATTCTTTTTTTTTGTTTGCACATTGATTATGCATATTTTAATCTGGATATTAAGCCTCAACCTGGCTAGATGAGTCCAAGGATTCATTTCTGCACAATTCCTATATTCTCAGTTCTCTTAACTTTGACTTATCAGCTAGAAACGGAGAAGACTCTTCCACCTTTAAATAATCTATTATCAATTATCCTATACTCAGATGTGACAACCTTTGATGGACTTTTGCATCTTTACCAGACTTCTTTAAACTAATTTGTGATCGTCGTGATTTGTGTAAACTGCTTAACCACGTTGTTATCTGGAGAATAGATGGTCGGGTACAAATCATTTTCCTATTGAATCATGAACAAAAGGGAACTCTATCATTTTATTTGGAGCTATAACTGATATCCCATAAAACACTGCTATGATTCTTTGGAGATTGGTCCTTCAAAACATATTCACTGCAGTTGTAATTACTAATTTGATCACATTTGATATTATTACTATATTTGCTATTAGAATTGGGGTTTGTTTGAAAGGGTAGAGTATTTGGTGGTTCCTGATATAGAATATCAAATAATGGTGTAGTTAGCCGAAAAATTCAGCCGAAGGCGCAGTAAATTTTCGGCTAACAACACCCAGCCGAAAAAAATTCATGTTGATCTTGAATATTTTTTGAATATTTTATTGGTTCAACATCCACTATTTTCGGCTAGATATTTACGGCTAACTACATTATTATTTTAAAGAAGTGTAGCCGTAAATATCAAATGTAACACAATAGTTTAAGTGGTAACAAGTAATGAAAATTGATTGTTCATATTACAATATTTACCATTATTATTTAATGGTAAATATTATGTAATATTGTTTGGTGTAAAATTGTTTCTTAAAATGTTTAATTTTAATATTTGCTTGTAAATAATTTTTAAATTCTTTGGTTTTCTTTTTAAAAAATTAAATACCAGTTTTTATTTTTTTTGATCGATTTGAATTAGTTCTAACAATTCTAATGATCTGCATGGTTAATTATAGGTATGGGAAATTATATTATAGACGCGGAAAATTATATTATAGACGCAGTAAATTATATTATAAACACGGAAAATATTCAATAAAATGGATTTAAATATAATCAAAGATAATTTTTTTTTTTAATAAACTTTTTTTCTTTGTTATCAAATTTGCTAAATTTACTGAAATTCTTCACTTAATTATGGATTCTATTTCCACTAAACAACTTTTAACTAAAACTAGAAAAAAATTACCAAGTTTAAGTGAGATAATGTCTTATGGACAAAAACATAAAAAAATTCAGTGATCTTTCATATGTAGATGTTTATATATCTGAGGATATAGTTATAGATGAAGGTGCATGTTTATTATTACCAGATGAATTTAATGGTTATATATGTGCTGATACAACTGCTGATGGAAATTATAAATTTTGTTTGAACATTTATTATAGCTTAATAAAGTATAAATGATTATAAAATTTTATATATTTTATAAATTAAATAAGTTAAATATATTAAATATATATAAAATCATCACATTTTGATGTTGCCTCCTTGTCTTGCTGGTTCGCTTTGGTCTCCTGGAATATTATATATTGGTGTTTCTTGCGCTTCTGATATTTCGGCTAACTACACTATTATTTAAAAAGTGTAGTTAGACGAAAATATTCAGCCGAAAATAGTAGATGTTGAACCAATAAAATATTCTAGATCAACATGAATTTTTTTCGGCTGGGTGTTGTTAGCCGAAAATTTACTGCGCCTTCGGCTGAATTTTTCGGCTAACTACACCATTATGAATATCAATGTATGAGTAAATATCAATGTTTGACTTTTAAAAGAAAACTAAACTTTAAACATACCTGTGTAGTAGTAGTAGAATATTATTGTAAATAATTTTGAGCTCCTTGTCACCATTTTTGTCAAATCATATTCCAATTCTATGATTGTCTGAGAGAGAGGTAGGGCATTAGAAATGGAGTTATTAAAGAGAGTAGTATTATTAAAGTTATTTATGTTGTTTCATTGTACTTTTAAAAAAGTATATTTCATATCTACCAATTTGAGGAATCATTCAGCTGCGTGGCGCAGTATCAATTAAAATTGATCAAAACCGCTCTTTACATAAAAAAAAAAATAAATCAAAAAATATGTAAAAAAACTCATAACTGTTCTACAAATTTACCTATAACCTGAAACCAATAGAAAAAAAAAATAATTCTAAAAAAAAAAAAGGAAAAATATCATAAAGTTAGCTTATTGAAAAATAAAAAATAAACTCCTCAATATTCAGAATATTTAACAAAATAAATTAAAAAAATTAATTACCACTTAGGAGTCATCAAAATCATCAATATATTTATTGAAAGATTTTTTTTTTTTTGAATATTTTCATTATCTAAATAAGATTTTTTTTAAAAAATGGCTACAAGTTGTCTAATATAAAATAATTGTCATATATACGAAAATTCTCAAATTACCTAGTGTAAAAACTGATGGGGAAGTTAATTGGGAGTTAAAGGGGAGTTTACAAAAGAAAAAAAAATTTTTTTCGTTATTTTGGTTCTTGATATCCGTGTCATATGATCATGTAACACAAATGTGATCTACTTTGTGCTATTAAATTATTATTCGTTAATTCCGCAAATCGGCAGATATAAAAAAGTTAAAAAAAGTATATTTGAAAGTATGAAAAGTTAAAAAAAATAAAATATATATGAAAATTGAAAGTATGATAAGCTATAATTAACTTTTGTTATATTTTCAATCACATAACCGTGACAACAAATCATTTAATTATTTATCACGTGAAAAATCTTACTTTCGATTCGGCTAAATATAAAGAAACGCCATCAATAGCCACAAAAACTTAAAAGGCTAAACTCCTTTACGAATAATGGACTAGCACAAAAATTTTAAGTCCATTTTACAATTTCTTTAAAAATGCAACTAAACAAAATTATGCACGATCAAATGATTTTAAATTTTAATTTATAATAAATAACTAGTTGAGGCTTATTTTTTTTTTCAGGATCGGGATCGATCATTTATAAAGATGATTTCAACTCCGATAGATTTAACTAACCTAGCCTCCAAAATTTCCTTTTTTTAGATAATGCAATTAAATGCAATCTGAATTATGAATCGATTCCTACCTAATAAATATTCAGGACAATTTTTTTTCATTACCTAAAAAAGTATAATAATGTCACATAAACCAAGCCTCATTTGGAATACAAAATATTTTATAAATATATATATATAAAATCAATGGAAAAAAAAAAGAAAAGAAAAATGCGATCTAATTATCTTAAAGTGTTTGCACTATTTGTAATTGTTTTATGTGTTTATCCTTTACGCACGATAGCACAAATAAAAACGTTCTTACATGAAGAAAAAGATTACGGATTAGAATCACCACCTCGTGTGGCGAAAATAAAGTCATATGATGATCTTGTAGTTGTAAGAATTGTTAGAAATGATACAAGTAAATCTAATGCAATTGAACATTGTAATTATGATATACTTTTTTTAAGAATGATTTATCCTGATGGAACGGTCATAGAAAAGGATATTAAATTAGAAGACGTTCAATTATTTAATTATTGTTCTGTTAATATAGATGTTGATGAAGATCATTTAAAATATGAAATAATTGAAAATAATAAAATTCTCGTCATTTATTATAATTCAACAGATGATATAAAAGTTGAAGGATGGGGAATGATAATTGATTTTGATGGTAAAGTGTTTGATAGAACACCTATAGGAGTTTGGGGATATAAAGATTTTCGTAGACTTTATAAACTTCGAGTACCACTTATACAAATAAGTTTAAATATTAAAAAAGAAAATGGATTTATCATAGGTTATAAACTACTTGAAAGTAATGATTTTGAATGGAAACAATATAAAGTGGAATTAGATGGAAAATTAACAATTTTAACTAATGGAAAGATTAAATTAGATTCTCGTGCAATTCTTGAACGTAATTCATTGATATCGACAGTTGATGAAGGATATTCTTTTATATATAAAGTAAATGATACATTACCAAATTCAGCGTTAAAGGATCTAATTATTGCAGAATTAATAGGTTATAATAAAACTGAGATAGATAAAGTTTACCTTTATCGAGTAAATTTATTAGATAGAATCCCTCAACCAATATCTTGTAATATAGAATATGTGGGAGTTGGACATTCTTGTTCCTTACCTATGATATATAATGAAAGTAATTATAATCTTAAAATTGGATTTTTATCATCTGGAGCAATTATTTCATTAAATATTACGCATATTGAATTTCCTAATAATGAATTTCGTTTTAGATCTTGGAGGTTACAAAGTTTAATATTTGGTGGTTATATGTTACCTGAAATAAATAGAGCTAATAATAGATTAGATATTTACGTATTTGCTGAGAATGGTACATTACATGATATTTTAAGTTCAGAGATAAATTTAAATTATGCATATACAATGTTACCAAATAATACTCTCTTGGTCGCACGAATGGAATATAATAATACTTGGGGATTTAATGTTATTGATTTACCTAAACTTACAATTGATAATGGATATTATAATGCAAATATAGAATCAACATTTCCTGGAATTAATTCTTCAATATCTTCAGATATTACGAATATTTCAATTGATTTTTATGTTCGAGTAACACTATCAGATGGTAAATTATCAATATTTCAAATAATTGATCAAAGAAAAATTTTACGACAAACAACTTCTGGTAGGGGATGTATATTAGATAATGACGATAAAAGAGTTATTGTAAATATACTTGATAGTACTTTTAGTAAGTCAGGGGGAAATTATTCTATTAAAATTGATAATAATTTTATTAAAAGTAGAACTTATGGAGAACCTTTATTAGGAATAAGAGAAAATATTTGGAATTTCACAATTGAAGATAAAAAACATTTATATACTATTACCAGTTCAACATCTGGCTTACTTCGATTAACTGTAGATGGAACAAATATAATTAAAAATTCTTCAAATGTTGAACAAAATCAATTCTTTAATGCTTTATTGGATGAATTGGCTGATACAGTTCAAATATCACGAGGTCGTCTTAGTAAAAATAGTAAAAATCAAATTGATCCTAAATCAAATGATGGAAGATTTTTGATTAATATAAATATTTATGAATCTAAAAATCCATATGAAAAAGATGTTAATTCTGTAATACAGGATATAAATTACATGATGTCATATCATGATCAGTCTCCCATTGAAAATGGAAAACTTACTTATTTGGACTTTACTTATGGTTTTATTCCTGCTCGTAAGTATTAATAAAATTTTCGATATAATTAATAAATTATTAATTCGTTCGTGATTCTAAAAATTCTTATTTTTATTAAATAATGTTTAGCGAATTATCTGCAAGAATATGGACCAAAATTATTGGGTTTACTTTTAATTATAATCCTTTTAGTCATTTTTTACTTTCTTGCTAACAAAAGAGAAAGAAAGGTATTAAAATATATTTTTTATAATAATTTTTTTTTTTTATAATATTTTTTAATTTTTTTTTGTTTTTATATTTTAGGGTCACAATATTGTTATTTTTAAATTTAGTTTATATATTTTTGATTTTGTTTTTGATACTCTTTTTATAATTAATAATGCTAATGATGTAAAAAGGCTATATATTCCAAGGTATGATACATATTATATTAAATGAACTAAATTTTTCCTGTTTATTTTTTAATTAAAAAAGAAATTTTTTAAATTTTTTTATAGTTTAATATTTTATACTGTTCCGATAGGATTAAATATGGCATCAACATTTTTAATAATGGCAAAAGAAAATACAAGAAATGAGTTTTTATCGTGGTTTACAGAAAATAGTAAACTTGCTAGCATATTTACAATATTGGCAGGAATTGATATTGAAATATTAAGTATTTTACATTCAAATCTGGCAGGTTTTGGTTATTTTCAAGCTCCATTTTCCGATTCTGCTAAAACAATAATATCTTGGATTGCTTTTATAAACATTTTCATTGAAGATATTCCTCAATTTATCATTCAGGTATTTTAAAAACTCAAGATTATGATTTCTTTTATTTATATTGGTATTTGGAATGTTAATTTGATTGGTTTTTTTTTCCTAGATTTTATTTAAAATGAGATCGATAACATATGATATTATTCCAATTATTGCTTTAATCTCTTCAGCGATAACTCTTAATTTTAGCATCATAAGTCGCTCACATCAATCTATAAATTATATCCGGAATAAAAGAAGCACGCGCCGTGTATCCATTCTTGAACTTGATGATATAGAATAATTGACATATTGTATTGATGGTTGGTCCTTATAGCATAGTCTTCAAATTTAAGGTAAACTCCAGTGGCACCATAAAAAAAGCTTGGGCACTCGCAGACTATTTTCATATTTTAATTTTTTTTTTGTAAATAATTTCAGTTATAGATAGTTTTCATATTTTTCATCTTTTATCGTTTATTATTTATTTATAATTTAGCATTTTTATAACAGTACAAACTCATATTTCATATTCTTTATTTTTTTTTTATATTTAAGAAATTTTTATTTCAAATAAAATATCACTTTTAATATCATTAAATAGAAGTGTCAAGTACAAACATACTATCTCTAAGTTCTTTATGAACTTTGCTTAAATATTACACAAGATAAAGCCAATCAAAACTCGGACGCACATCACGGATCACGTGCCTGATTTTTTTTTTAATTTTTCTATTAAGTGATGATAAAAATATAATCATAGGCGAATTTGCGAACCTATTTCTTCAAAATCCGCCTTTTAGTTCTAATAACATTAAATGAGACCTGCATTACATTAATTTGATCATTTTTATAAAAAATAAACGACCACTATTTATATTAACTCTGCTAGATTGGCTCTTTTTTGTCAATTTATACTGTATCTTAAGTATATCGTAATAATAACGTACGAGAAGCTCTTGTCATTGACCTTCTAAAAAATTATAATATAAATAATTTACATCAAAGATTATTTTAAAAATTAGCGGTACAATAAAATGTATGGCAAATTATATAAAATTAAATGGCGTGTTGAAATTTTTGTTGTTTTATTTTTTTTTAATATCCAAAAAGCCGGATTACTTAGTACGAATGGACTATAATTCTACGCAAGATGGGATGTTTGTCCAGTTCGTGACAAATAATAATGATTTCCATTTCCTAATTGAAATGATGTGTCATGTGTTTACCTTTTTGATCATCATGGATCGTGTACTGTAACGCGAACTTGATGAACTTGATGTAAATTCATTCGATTATCGGATAAATCCAATTAGAGTTAGTAGGCATGTGGGATTCAGAACAATATTAAACTTTAAATTTTTTTTTTTTTTTTTTTTTTCCTCAAATTCGGTTAAAATGTCTACAGAAAATGATGGTACTTCAGGTTCTGATACTGTATCTGCTAGTATTTCAGAACCAAACACTATTTCTAGAAGTTTATATACTGAATCCAACGCTTCAAGTATTTTAAGTCAATTATCTGAATACTATCAAGATGAAGCTTTTATACCAAATAAAAAACAAAGAAATAGAGCAAAAGAATTTTTGGGTTATTATGAATGTTTAATTGATAATTCAAAATTATCAATTCCAACAATTTCTATTTCAACTGCTAGAATTGATTTACATAAAGTAATAACTCATAAAACGGCACTAAAAGAAGGAAAACATTTGGTTATAACAAAAATTAAAGAATCTCAATATATAAAAAATACATCAATTTTTGTTATTACTGGTAAAGGTCGAAAAATTATTAGAAATGATAAAGGAGAAGTAATGAATTTAATGTTGTCTAAAAAAAAGTCTAATTATGAAGAATGGACCGGAGTAAAGTTTAATGAATTTCCTGGGTGGATGCAAAATGTTGAGCATTTATTGTATGGAAATCCTGTAAAGGGATTAGGAACATATGAAGTATTTATTAATAAAACGGTAAATATTGATGAAAATACTTTGGAAATGTTGAAAACAAATGCTGAAAAGAAAGATGATATAATTCATAAATTGGCTTTAGCTGGATTTTATATGAAAGATAATGAAAGAAATAATGGAGATTATTATGAAACTAATAGGTGTTATAAAGAAGCTAAAAATTTGTTTCTATCGGCTGCTAAATTGGGATCTATTGAGGCAAAATTGTGTTTAGGATATATTTATTCTATTGGTTTGATTAAAAGTAAAATAGTATCAGATTACAAACCAGTCAAAGCTAAAAAATTATTTAAAAAAGTAGCAAAAAAAACGAATGACAAAAGATTAGCTAGAGTAGCAATGAGAAATGTTGCTACATTATTTCATAGCAAGGAAATTAGTCCAAACATTTATGAACAAATGAAAAATGTTGCAGTAAAAAATAAAAAACCATTATATTTACAGAAAGCAGAAAAATGGTATGAAAAATCTCTTAAATTAGAAGATAGTCAATCTGCATATCAACTTGGATTACTTTATGAAAGCAATTTTTATGAAAGTATGAACGTTGATAAATTTAAAGAAAATAAAAATAAAGCGGAGAATTTGTTTGAAAAGGCCGTTCAATTTGATAATGATAATTTGTACGCAAAAGCAAAACTTGGAAGAATTTTAATTAATAATAAAAAAGATGTGAATAGAGGGTTTAAAATATTGGAAGTTGCAGCAGGAAAAGGATTGGATATGGGACAAACATACCTTGGTGAATTGTATGAAAAAGAAAAAAATTATGAAAAAGCTGTTGAATTTTATTCAAAGGCTGCCAGGCAGAACCGTGGATATTATAGTCATGCTGCACAATATCGTCTTGATAAATTAAAAGAAAAAGGACTCATCAATGAAGATATTAATATTGAAGATATTTTGAAATATTATAAAAATGAATGTGAAAATGGATATATCGAAACTAAAGAAATTTTCAAAAAAATTCTTTAGAAAAGTTAATATTCCTTTTTATATTGGTTTAGGTAAGTTATATATTTGAATACTATTTAAATAGGGTACTGTATATGATTTTTGAATCCAATAAATTATTATTAAATTATGAGAAATCAGTTTTCACAAAATTCATTTTTGAGTGAGAAAATCCTGATACTGTATATCATAATAATGACCATAAAACCTATAAGACTTTGCCAAGATACTCTCCAGATTGGCACTTCAAACATTTAGTTATATTAACTTTTTACGTATCTTTCATTATAAAAAATTGATAATAAATGCAAATAACTAAATAAACTATAAATTATTTGATATTGTACCAATCTCTTTTCATGCAATCTTTTACAGGCAATATATTCATTTTGTCGCGATTTAACCTTTAAACCGTTACAATGGATCAATTGGATCATGTCGTTTTTAACATACTGATATTTTTTAGATAATTTATTATTGCATAAATATCTTTGATATTCTGACGCATTACATCATTTGGATTAAATATCAAATATATTTTTATCTTTATAGGTAAAATACTGCTAATGAATAAGCTTATATAGTTTATTTATTATTTCAAGTTTTCAACCCCCTACCCATTATTTACGTCTTAATTAATTAAATATATTAATCTTTGATATTCTAGATAACGTCGGGATTGACCATGAACGCTGATTTGTTAAGGTGAGGAGATATGATGATATTATCCAGGTAGTTGCTTGACCAGAGATATTTACATCTAACATAAGAGAAATTTTAGTAAGGCCAATCTGAGTTTTGTGAACAAAACAATTTTGTAAGGGAAATTGGTGCCTCGACCACAACGTACGAATGACAGGCAGGTTTTTTTTTTATTTGAATATATGATTATCAGATCTGGTGGATAAAATATTATTTTTAAATCGTAACAGCTCCTATTTTGAGATTTTTCCTCAAGACAAAACTAATTATTATTGTCTTCAGTTTGTAGGTAGTGATTTAGTAAGTTTACTAATATTTTAATGCAATTTTTGTTTCATTTTTTTAAATTTACGTTTAATAAGTAATAAGGGCCATTGCTAATAAATTAGGGGCGGGTTAAGCAAAATCTTATGTGACCCAAAATTAAACATTTTTATTGGTTAAAATTAGTATTATATGTAATAATTGAATATTATTGGTTAAAAAGATCTGGGTATGAGGTATGAAACTAATATCAGCTAATATATGTCACTGCTCTAAACATTAAATAATAATTATATTTGGAGAATACGTAATTATTATTTTAATTGGAATGAATCTAAATAAAAGCCAATTTATATGATCAAAAAAATTAAATTAAGAAAAATTGTTAAATCGACGTAAATAAAAATTCTTCCGGCATTTAATTTTACGCCTGATCTATCCCATATTTATTATGGTTAATAATTTGGTTGGCTATTGGGTCATGTGTACGTTCCGTCGTTCCGATGACCAATTTGTGTGGCTATCCGATTCCGGTTAATGAAATTTTGATCGGATATTTTTGAGATAATTCTAAATTTAATTTGAAAAAAAAATATTTTTAAATTAGTTTTTTTTTTATGACTGAAAAAATAATTTTTTTTTTTATAATCTAAAAATTATTATTTTTTAATAAGACTTAATATTTAACAAAATCGTTTCCAACCTTTAATAAGGAACTATCATAATGTCTGTCTGCATTACCATAGTGCGGAGTTGAACAATTGAAGAGGTCTTAATATTGTTGTTTTAGTTTTATTGAAGATTCCATTTTAAACAAAAACAATACAGTAAATGAAAATAAATTTATAAAAAATGGCATATAATACTTTCATAATAATATATATATCATCAATAAATGTGTCGATCAGGAATAATGTATAAGAAAAAGAATAAACTAAATTTGGAAAGTAAAATATAAATAAAGACAATAAAAAGAATATACTAAATTTGGAAAGGTAAATTGTCAAATGAATAAAATAATAATAAAATCAGAATACTAATTAAGAAAGTATAATAACAAGGATCAATTGAAATAACAATAAAAATATATTAGAATGTTTAACTAAAAATAAATATTGTTTCTTTGTCAATGGAATTATTCATAGGATAATTATAATTTTAATTAAAAATAAATATTGTTTCTTTGTCAATGGAATTATTTGTAAGTCATTTATAATTATAACTAAAAATAAATATTGTTTCTTTGTCAAGTAATTATTTATAGGTCAATTAAATAAGAATAATATCAATCAAATAAAGGGAATTGTTGAAGATCGCTATAAAAGAAATTTAATTATGGCGCAGCAAAAAAACTATTATAAAAAGATTGGAAAATTGATCAACCCTCCTTTCCGACATAAATCCAACATTTAGTACCATCAGAATAATTATTTTCAAATTATAATAAATTTAAAAAACTCGTTTAAATTCATCCAGATGAAACTTAATCCTCTTCAATATATACCCTAATTTTATAGTATTAATAAGCCACATCAAGAAAAGACAAATAAGATGGTGACATTTACTATTCAGAAATGTCGGAAGAAATTGAATAAAAGACGGTGGACGAGATTGATGACGTTAACTCGTCAGAATCCGTCCATTCGAACCAACATGATCAGAATAAATTAATAAATAAATTTAAAGAAATTGTTATTAATAGAACATAATTATGGAAGACAAAATGGACGAGATGATGGCGTTAACTCGTCAGAATCCGTCCATTCGAACCAACATGATCAGAATAAATTAATAAATAAATTTAAAGAAATTATTATTAATAGAACATAATTATAGAAGACAAAATGGACGAGATGATGACGTTAACTCGTCAGAATCCGTCCATTCGAACCAATATATGTTCAAATTAGAAATATTTTGTATTGAAAGTCATTTGCATATTTTTATTAGATTTATAATTATTAATAGAACTTATTATAGAAGATATGCACCTTTTAATAGCACGAAAATAATTTTAAGTCAAATTGCGCAACTACCTTTGCAAATTACAAATGACCCATTTGCAATTTAATTATCTAATGGGTCTACCATTACAAATTACAAATGATCCATTTGCAATTCAATTATTTAATGGAACAAAAATCACAAGACTTTAGACTTTCTAACATCACCTATAATTCCTCAATTATTACTTCTTCCTTACAAATCACAAATGATCCATTTGCAATTCAATTATTTATTTATTTATAGATTATGTATTTGTATTTTAATTTTAATAAATTATCATGTTACGATTGTTACATAAAAAATTACGATTGTTGTATTTTGTCTTATTGTTGTTATGTGATATGTGTATATGACGAATGATTCGTTCTAAGTAAATCCTCTTCTTACTCTTCTAACTTATTGTTTAAGAACAAAAAAAAATGGAACCCTATTATTGAAATTTAAGGACATGTTATTTTATTTATATTTAATAACTTTTTGATAAAGTAAATTTTAATGAGAAAGGATTCCTCTCCGTTTCAGCGAAGCCTACAAGAAATTAAACAACCCGAGTCGAAGCTGGAGGGGAGTGACCTACAAAAGAGAATAAAAAAACATTAATAAAACGTTTCTTTGAAAAAACAAACTAAAAAGAAAGCTTCTTAACTTACATTTCTATTTGATGGTCATCATATTTTTTATCTATATAAGATTTTTAGATTTTTATTTATAATAGCTCTTGTGATAAGTGATTTATGAAAAATAATGATTTTACTCTGATTATATAATATTTTTATTTGATATTACATTTAGATATATGTAATTTTGTATCTACAGTACTCCTTTCACACATTTAACTCAAAATTTTTATTTTTATATTTAAAATATTTTAAATAAACAAGGATAGAAGGGAAGCCATTCAAATCTCGATGATCAGAATCCCGTTATTATATATTATTGGATGATTAAACTAAATAATAGTCTAATAGCGGCACGTAGTGCCGCATTAGACTATTATATATAGTTTAAATCATCCAATAATAATATTATCGGTTTAACGGGACCGTTCATGCAATTTTTATAATAAACTACCGTTACTATCCAATAATTTTATTATTATTCTAATACATAGTAATATGAGATAACCGACCTAAATAACAATTATGTAAAATCAGCATGAACTTATGAGGATAACTGATAATAACAGTTATAACAGTGTTATTATATTTGTTAATAATATTTAAAATATACCTTCATTTAATTATTATAATGTTATCGATCTGAGTGTTTAAGATTTTATATTTGTCATCGAAATTGGTCTTATTTCAGATAGTTCATTATTTAGTTTTGCTATCTTGGACGTAATTCAGATGCGTTACGAACTCATGATGATCGTAATCAAACAATAAAGAGGCAAAAATTATCTTTTTGACCCTTCTCGTGCTACGTTTTTGACCTTATACAAACTTTCATAGATTCTTTTTATGTATATCCTATAAATTTACCAATGTGTACTACACCATACTATTCAAATTTTACAGTACAATTAAATAATTACCCACGCGAGAAATTCCAAATTTTTAATTTTTAATTTTTTTTTTTTTTAAAAAAAAGTGTATTTATTCTTAAAGGTCCAATAATAATTGTTGATTTACCGGTTATTTAATTTATTCTTGTTATTTAAATAAAATAAATATGATTTCTATCTTAAATATATTATTACAAAGTTTTAAGGAAACGAATCAATATTTTATCCTAACTTCATAGAGACGTTTCCAATAATAAAAATACAAGAGAAAATTGCAAATAAATAGAGAAAATAATATGTTAGTTTCGAATAAAAATAGCTTTTTTTGTATCTCCGACTTCCTCTACATGACAAGTTTTATGTACATGATCGAGACCCAGATAGTCTTCATCCGAGAATATCTTTTCCGATAAAATTATATCTAATAAAATTAAAGAAAGTTAACAAATTTTAAATAATTGAATTAAAATATTTTTATTAACTTACCATCATCTTCCAAATACTCCGGTTTTACATATGAAGTTCCAGGTATGATTGCAATTTTTATTTTCAAAAAATCATCTACGTTCATACGAAAACGATATTGAAGACGTTCCTTAGTATCAGAAAGTGTCTCACCCTAAGTTAAAATTATATAAATGTTTAAATTCTTATAAATTACATTATACATTATTTAATTAGTAATAAATAAATTACATTTTTGATAACAAATTTGAATGGAATTCCATGCACACATATTGGATCATTTGTAAAATGAAATGCTTGAATAATTCGATCGTCCTTATTGATAAAAATTTCATCCTGAGGTATTTCCTATAATAATAATACAATATACATAAATAGGATAATTTAACGAAAGAAATTTATTCAATTCATATCATAAATATTCACCTCAGCATATAATTTTGCAAATTCTTGTATCTTCTCTATCGGTTCTGTTTCTGTATATTCTTTTTGAATTTTATGATTTACAACTTCAAATAGCCTGATTTTGGAATTTTGTGATGATAATATCACCTTTCTTAAAAGTTTTCTTATCAATTCACTAACAATGGCGTGCTTTTTAAGACAGAGACCAATAACTTCCTGGAATTTTTTTATAATGTGAATTTTTTTAAAAATAAGATTTATAAAATTAAGGTATACGAATAAATCTGAATGAATATACCTTCTCTCTAACCGTGTTTCCAAGCCAAGCAACTTTTAAGAACTTTTTTGCTTCTAGTTCTACAATACTTACGTCCAGCATCTCATAGAATAAAATATGAGCTGATTGCGTCAAATTTGCAGTTTGAAACATCTCTGAAATTGTCTGAGTAGTGGTATGTTTAATGTCATCCTTTGGTGTACCAAATGATGCCGTTGTAAATCGTAATTTAAGAGGATCCGTATTTAAATGAATGGAGACTACTCCAGTGAGCTATTTTAATTATTAATTGGAATTAGGAACGTGATTGTAAATAATTGCAAATTATATCAAATGTTGTCAGAGAATTAAAAGACCTGATCATATGTCCATTTTTTATTTAAAATCAAGTCAAATTCATGTTTTGAATTTTGATATTTCCATCTTGGCTTAAATGAGACAACAATACGTAAAGTTAATGATTCATAGAAATGAGGAATATTCCAGCTACGGCCGGCTATTGCATGCTCTTGGTTCCTAAAAAGACATTAAAATGTTCAAAATGTTTTTAAATTAATAAAATAAAAAAAAATTATATAAAGTATATAATGTTAACACATACTCCTTTTCTGTTAAAACCTTTTGAAAACAAATTATATCACCATTTTGTATATCCGATTGTTGGAAAGTGGATCTTAATTTCATTTCTACAATTGTATCTGGCCTAACTTCCTATAATATAAAAAAAATATGATAAGTTAAATAAGTACATATAAACCAAATATATACGCTAACATCTAAATATGCTTACTTCATATATTTTCAAAGGAGTATGTGATGGAAATCCCTTTTTTTCGCAGAGAATACAAGTGTAGTCACTCACTTTACTGAATTTTCGTAAATATAAATGACCAAGACCTCTATATAATTGAATACATTAAATATCTTTGATTACAATGTAAATGTAAATTTTCAGTATAAAAAAAAAAAAATCGTACTCCAAAGCTTGTTTTTCGACATCAAAATACTTGATGAAAACCATTATGTGATAATTTTCATCTATCGGAGGGAACCATCTCTATTGAATTAGTTCGTAATATTAGTTAAATTCTTTTTTAAAAAAAAATCTGAAAGATAACAATATTACAATTATGCACCTCGCCATAAATTGGTTTGTCTGCTACTTCCATATACAACTTCATTTTATTCTGCTGACAAGTTATCTTCGCATGAATTTTTTCCATACCTATTTATTATAATATAAATTTGATAAGTATTATAACAAAAAATTTTTAAATATAAAATTAAATCATATTACTAAGATCAAGATAAGATTCTGGTATTGGAGAATCTGGTCGAATGGTTCCATTTCGACGATTTACAAAGTACCAGAATCGCATTTGTTCCAAAGGAATTTTGAAAGTTCGAGAAATATTTTTTTTAAAAACTTCATAAGTTTTATTTTTTGTAGTCTTATATGTATATATATCAGAAATTGGATATTCAAAATTGGCAATATCAAATCCTTGGTGATATTTGAATTTTTCGGCGGTTACAATCTATATAATAAAATATTGTCATAAGATTAATAGTAAGAATAGCCCTCTTTCCCCTTTCTCTCTTTTATAAAAAAAAATGATAATAATACCTTGATGATGAAATCAAAGGCCCTTTCCTCTTCTGATCGTCTTTCTATTTAGATAGTAATAAATAAATAACAAACATTTTCATCCTAATTAATTTAAATATATTAGTATATACATACGTAAATGATCAGGTATATCTTCGGGGATCACAGGAGACAATATCTCATTAATACTCGATTCGCGAATATAAATTAACATATAAGCATTGGTAGATCGTGACCGTTTATCGGTTGGATCAATTGCGCTGATTGAATTAGCATCTGGAAATTCACCACCATAACTATCAAGGACTTCACTATCCATAATAGGTGTAACATGACCATCATCAAATTTAAACCTAAAAAATTTAATTTTAAACGAGTTCGTACATTAATTTTTCTTAATAAATAAACAAACATATATATAAATGAAATAAACCATTTGCCGTCTTTTTCAGGTTTTAGTAAAGCAAAATAATGACCTTCGTGTAAATCACCACTATGAACGATTATACTGTATATAACAAATAAGAATTTATAATTTGAACATTTTTAAAAATAAGTTGAGAATGCAATAATAACGTAAATTCATAAACAAACCCATATAATAAATATTTATGGGGGTTGGATCTATCCGCATTTTCCGATAGAAATTCTTCTAAATCAATCTCAATTGGAAATTCATAACGATCATTAATCTAATATAATAAGAGTTTGGTAAGCAATAAAGAATTTTTATCATCAAATACATATATTTATCAATTATGTAACCTTGGTCATGGCGTTCTTTTGCATATCATATTCGAATCTCTTAAGTTGCAAATGTAAAACTGGAGGAAAGCTCTCAAATATAACACCTTTTTCGGCAACCTACGTAAATTAAATTAGCTAAATCAGTTAAAACTACCTTTAACACAAGTAGCCGAATAATAAAATAAGTAAATAAATAATTAAATTCGCTTTCTACTTACTTGCAACCCATAACCTTCTGCTTGATATTTATTATCGTCTTCCAATGTTTCCTTTTGAATATAATTCTTGAAAGAATCTCTTAAAGTCTTACAACCTTTTACATTCAATTGAATATCTAACCAAAATTTAAATTATAATTATTCTTTTGAACGGCATTTAATGCATATAAAAAATATTACAGAAATATTTTACTATTACCATAATAATCTTCAACATAAGAAGATTCATAATCTTGATTGACACATTTAATATAACTCTTCATTTTACCAGAAAAAAGTTTAGTAATTGCACCATCAGCTTTTGTACCCTAATAAATAATCATAAAAAACTCTTACTGAAAAATAAACATGAAAGAAAAAAAAATTTCATAATTTAAATGAACTACCTTCATTTTGCCTTCAAGATAATTTTGCAACATTCTGTTAAATTCATGCACATCGTGATGTGTAAAAGAATCAAATGAATTCCAACCAAAAGATTTTGTTAATTCTATCGTCTCGATTGGAATATCTGATGTCTGCAAATTGAAGAAAACTCGTTGTAATGCTAAAGGAACACTTTTGTTTGGGATATCATTTTCCGTGGGGATTTGATAGATCGCCTATGATTTATAAATAAGTATTAAACTTTTGATCTTAATAAACAATGCATAATAAACAAAAAACAAACCTTACGGAAATAAGTCGTAAAATAAAGTGACTGGAGTAATGAATTTATATAACTTGTAGCGCCTTGGTTATTTAAACCAACATAACCCTTCCTCATATTTGAATTATAACTATATGAAAGGTTAAAACAAAGCCAGAAATATTAAATATTGTCATTATTTGTAAATCAAAGCTTTAAATGATAATAAATGGGATAATGTACTCATGCCATAAAACGCCTGTAGGGTCCTTCAATACTCGTACTAATGCCGTGATATTGGTTGAATCATTCTCGATTAATGGTCGTGTTCGGTTTTCATAAGGGGTAAACAATTTATCTAGACCATAAAACCGTGTAAATCCCCAGTCTGATTCTTCGGCATTGAATCGATGATGAGAGTCTAAAGTTCAAATTCAAATTCAAATTAAATATAATATCATTGTTACAATACAATTCCAAGACATAATTTTTACACGTACGATGAGCAACATAATGTGATGGATCTTCAGGATTCCACAAGACTAAAGCAAATTGAACACATAAATGCCAACCGTCTGGAGCACTCTTAGGATCAAAAAAATCAAGATAAATAGAAACACTATCTAAATTATTATTACCAAAAGGGAATAACAAAATTTGCCTAAAAAAAATAAAAGAAAGAAAATATTAAATATTTATCAAACAACTTCATCGTTTATTCAAAATTTTTACATTACCATTCCCAACTTCCAACTTCAAACTTTGGTCCTGTTATCCTCTTTTCCAAATTCCGCCAATTTGTTACATGCCATGTGTTATATTTAAAATCTTCTATCTCGCAACCTAGTTCAGGCATAATTTTATTTGCCAAAGCTTCAAGGTCTGTTGTATACAAATAAAATTCCGGTTAACACTAGTAATAATATTTCATCTAAAAAGGAAAGATGAATTTTAATAGATCACGCATTAAATGGTTTAAAGTTATTTATTTACAAAGAGGTTCAAACTAGTGAATCCAAACTTCAACAAATATGTCAGTTAAATGATAAATTAAAAAGTACAATAAATAATTTATTTGAATAATAACATACGATAATTTGTTACGAATAATGTTGTCGTATCCTCCACGTCTGTCATAGGAATATCCTTGGCAGGTTTCTGATCCATTATGACCCTATTATATAAGAACAAAAATTATAAGTATTCCTTTGCAAGTATTTTTATTTAAGGCTATATTAAAACTACTTTATCGAAATATTTTAAAAAGTAATAAATCAAAAATGTTTACTTTAAATATCAAGCAAATATCTTCCTGTTTGAATTATATCCTATTTGAATTATTATTGAAATTAAAGTTACTAAATACGAATGTAATCAAGATCCAAGCTATTTTTCTTTAAATACTAAATGATTATCCGTCGATCAAAATAGATTTAGGACAATGACGCAATGCAACGGTTAAATGCCGACCGATCATTCCGACATAAAGAGCATCAAAAAAACTCGGCACGTGAGACTGTGGCTAAGTGTGGCTATGGAAATTGCACTACGCAGCTATCTTCATTAAATTGTTGACCGTTGGCCTAAATTAGCTTCCTTACCTAACCCAAGGCTAACACTAACTCCAGAGGTAAAAGTTTCAGCCTAAACTGACCTTCCTTACCCTAACACTAAGATACTCCAAAGACGATTGTTTTGATTATCAGTAAAACAAATTCTTAAAAATTAATAAAATTAGAGTGATTATTTTATTATGTAAAATTATTAAAATAGAATGTAATATTAATTTAACAATAAAATTTATTCAATTTCAATTTATTAAAATTGATTTAAATAAATTATTGTAGATAACAAGTGTTATCACTATGCCCCTGGTCGTTATGGCTCTTTTAACATGCCATTTGCATAATTGTATTTTAACATGTGGCCATATAAATCGCACTGTATTTACATGTTCCAAATCCTTATCTGTTAAAAAAATAAGGGTTACACTCCTTGATTTTTAAAAATAATAAGGAACATTTGCAGTATTCCAGAAACAGGTAGAATAAATGAAATCCAATACCATTTATCTCTGCATGTAGAGCATATAATTCAAACTAGTATTATTATAAGTAGCATCCATTCCATATTAATTCCTAGGTCATTTATTTGCTTAAGAATGCCAGTTTCAAAGGCTATTTCATGAACTCTGCCCTAACTCTGCTCATTAAAAATGGATTTGTTTCTGTTTTATTGATATATCAAGACCATTATTAACAAGATATTTATATATCTCTCTTGGAAGGAGATCTATGTTTTCTTTTAAAATCTTTGCGCTTTATGGTACAGATTTATTAGCATACAGGTCTTGTATGCAGATCCTTATGACAAAGTTCTACTTCAGAATCTTCATATTTTTTTCAATAAATATCTTTAATCATCACAAGCAAATCTTTTCATTAATAGATCTGGATTTTTATGTGGCTTGGATGCTAAGATATTTCTTTGAGAACAGAAATACCAATATGTTATATCCTTGCCTTAGTATAGATGATTATAATTTCAGTGGTATCCATTGGCATCTTCAACTAACTCAATAATTTTATCTGCAATTTTCTTAGTTGAAATCTCATTAGTAAAACTTGTATTACTTACTCAGCAATGTAAATATAATTCTTAGTTATTTAAAGATATGTTTTCTAAGAGATTTCACTTAAAAAATCAATATCAATAATTTTCAAGATGTCAGTTTGACAATTTTTTATTTCTACAAGAGTTTTTCAGGTTTTGAATTGACTAACACCTTTAGTTCTGTTTGCTATATTGTATATGATGGTTTTATAGAGCCATACATTAATTCATTTTAATTTTATATAGTTACACTAAAATTTATGTTATTATGATTAAAAAAATTTCAGTTGAAAAAATCTTAGTAAAAAAAAGGAAGATAATAATATGATAATAAATTCATTATTTTTGATTTGATCAATATTAATAATACTTAAATAAAGAAATTACGTATAAGGAAATGGTTTGAGATTTAAATGAGAGGTTAAAGATATGTAAAGTTGATCGGTTTTTTCTCATATTTATTATATCAACGAAAATTGTCTTATAACAAAATTAAAAACAAATTGTACAGTAAGTTTATTAAGTTTATTTTTGATTGATCTGTAAGTGTCAAATATTGTTTTAAATGTCATTTTTGACTTATTTAACATATTTTACATATTTTTTTTTTCAATTCCGGCCGATGAACCTTTATGAGCTTGTTGAACACCTTCAGCAATATAGAATCATTCAAATAATGATTGGATTAAATAAAATGGTATTAAACTCTTCAATACTATTTTTTGTCATAAAGGAGCTTTTTCAAAGCTTGAAGAATTGTGTAATGGTATTATGAGTCAAGAACCAAAATTTTGATTGGTTCTAATGAGTTTTGGGAACTAGATGATGATGCTTTACTTTCAATTATTCAACATGGTAATCTAAACATGGTAATTTGGGAGAGAGGATATAATCCAATAAGATGGAGCGCGTTTAACCAATATTTTGATACTAATAGGATTTTTATTTAATCATTTTATTTAAAAATACTTTAAATTCATCCACAATTATATTAAGCAGAGTTAAAACTATGGCTAGATAAAAACCGGGATTTGGTTGTAAAGATTTAAATATATTTCAAAAAGTTGTAAATTAGACGATTATTTTGTTAAAACCTAATTTTTACCTTATACTTTACGTTTCACATTTTGACGTCTAAATTACCTCCCACGTCATCCTGTTTATACGTAAACACATCAAACAATTTAAAATAGTGTGAACCATTCCACTTATGACAGTATTGACAAGTGGCAGTCTTAGGGCTGAAAGCAAAATACGGATTTTACTAATTTTTCTTGTTTTTTTTTCTTGAGATTTTTTTAAAGTTGCTCTTCTTTTTCTTTGGATCGTATTCTCGCGACATAAGGTTATGCCGATTGTTCTATAGAATAAAAGGCAAGACGACTCCTTCGGGCTCCTCCCGAGAAGTTGGGTTTTATCATTAGTTAAGAATTTATTAGACTTTTAGTTTATGTTTATTCTTATTTAGCGTTAGACCCCAGTCGTGTCTATATTTTAAAAATAAAAATAAAAATAAAATATTAATTTCGATACTATAAGCATAGAATTAAACTTTGGTTTAACCTTCATAAGATGTATATAATAAATTTAGTTGTTGTTAAATTATTTCTTCATGTAATTTAAGATTCATTAATAATAAACGAAAAAATATAATAAATGAAAAAATATAACTTATATCTTGCGTAATTTATTTTCGTTATTAAAATCTTAAATAATAAATTAAAAAATATAAAATGGATAGCCAGTCTGTATTTATTCATCCAGAAGCACTTAGAAAACGCAAAATTTGAGAAAATGAAACTCATAAAAACGTGAAAGACATTGTGCTCGTGATGTTTATAAATCGTTGCAAAATATAACACCTATTAAAATTTCACTTTGGAAAACGTGCAGCGTGACGCCCGCTTCGGACGTTTAACAGTCACCGTTACCTAGATATAATAAACTAATAAGATACTACATTTTACTTACTTTCGCTATAATAGATTACGTATTTTATTTGTAAATATAATTAACTTGATTTTCGCTAAATAGTTTGTTCTTAGCATGTTTAATAATATTTCATATTTGTAATGTATACTCTGTTCTGAACTGGTTTTTAGAGTCAGTTCCACCAATTTGGTTCAGTCTTGACTCGTTCTGGTTTGTGAAACCAAACACTAAGAATAATATATGATTTATTTATTTATTTATTTTAATAATCTCTTTATTAGTATTATAAAAATCATTAATAAAAACAATCATCATAAAGTTAGTTAAGTTACATCTGATCAATAAAGTATCTATGGTGCCGGAAGTCTATACTCAACAGTCACGTGATTTTGTTTTAATTTTCTGGAGTGTCCTTAAAATAGACCGGGGTTCAGGTTCTTATCCTAGACCGCAACTGTATTAATCACGTGACGATTACTCTGAAAATATAGGGGTTTAGGATAAAGAACCTGGACCCCGGTTCAGGATAAATTTGTCCTTTTCTGAGCCGATTCTATATCATGTGATCCGGAATTCAGCCAATAAAAATCGGATTTCTCGTGTAAAATACTAATAAAATGCGGTTTTTGAAAATTTATTACAAACAAGATAAAACATAACAGATAAGAAAAAGTAGATTTCAGCAATAAATCGCAACTACCATTTCATAAAAGTCATACATTGATAAAAAATTTTTTTTTAAAAAAATTACATTTGATTCATATTATGATAATTCGGGCTGGCATTATCACAATGCATGGAGTCGGCCCAAATTATCATAAGTTCTGGCTAACATATAACTTTTTACGTAGATCTTCTTTTTAAAAATCTGACCGGTAATTTGATAGAGCTTACCTCAAAGAATAAAGTTACCAGTTTATTTTTTCTAAATTGTATTTTTTTTTAAGGAGTTGAAAGATTTTTAAGTGTTACATTTTTATTGTCGAGTATAGACTTCCGGCACCATACCTATTTGAAACTACAATACAGACAGATGAATAAAAACTATTTGGGAAATCCTTTATATTATTAACTTTAAATTACCACACAACTTTGCAAAGTAAAGAAATATTCTAATTTTTAGACATTTAATTTCCTTTTAAATATAATATTACAAAATTAAAATAAAAAACAGAATTATCCTCGAATGTAAGTAATTTTCTCCATGCTCTCAGTTTCATCTACATGATCAAGACCTAGATAATCTGTACTCGACAATTCCTTTTCTGATACGATTATATCTAATAAATAATATAACATTAAAAATATATTTAATATAAATAATAACAACGTGAGTTAAATTATTTATATCCACTTACCATCATCTTCAAGGTATTCAAGTTTTTTGTATGTGAACTCAGGTATAATTGCAATCCTTATTCTTGCAAATTCGGTTTTGTTCATACCAAGTCGAAATTGAAGACGAATCTTAATATCAGCAAATGTTTCACCCTGAATTAAAAATTATTATATTAAAATAAAAATTCTTGTACCATTTAAAATTAGCTATAGATAAGATTACATTACATTTTTAATAACAAATTTAAATGGAATTCCATGTGTTTGCATTGGATCCCTTGTGAAATGATATACTTGTATTATTTGATCATGAGAATTAGCGAGTAATTCATCTTGAGGTATTTCCTGTAAATTATCATATAACACATATTATTAAATGTAGAATATGCCTTCAAGTTAAAATAATTTTGTCAAAAATAAATAATTAAAAACAAATTGTTGATTAATTCACCTCTGCATATAATGTCATAAATTCATGTATCCTACCAATTAATTCAGTTTCTTTATATTCCTTTTGAATTTTATGATTCATAACTTCATATAATCTGATTTTGATATTTGATGATAATGTCATCTTTTTTAAAATTTCTTCTATGATTTCACTAACGATACCATCCTTTTGAAGACAAATATCAATGATTTCCTAAAATAATTTTAAAAGGTTTTTTAAATTATAGCAGAAAATTCCAATATATATTCAATTATGGAAAAAAATTCCAATATATCATACACATATTATACATGCTACACGGTACCTCATCTTTAACAGTATTTCCAAGCCAAATAATTTTAAAGAATTTTCCCTCTTCTAGATTTGATTCTGTAATATTTAAATCAAATATCTCATAATATAATATTGGTGCATATAAATAAGCCTGATTGAGAGTTTGATCAGACGTGTCAAATAACGGAAATGTATTGGTAAATCGTATTCTATAAGGATTGACATTTAAATGAAGAGCAACTGCTTCAGCAAACTATATTAATGACGATTAATAATAAGAATGATAAATAATTGTACAGTATATCAAAATTATATACAGACGTGTAAAAGAGTATACATGCTTGATAACGGGTCAATTTTTTATTTAACATTAGGTCAAATTCAAAGTAACCTTGCCATTCTGGCTTAAATGAAATAACAGTAAGTAAAGTCAAAGATTCATAATATCGAGGAATACCATAAATACGACCAGATTTAGTATACTCTTGAATTCTAAAAAGATATTAAATCATCAATAAATGTTATTAAAAAAACAATAATAATAAAGTTTAATGCATACTCCTTTTCCATTAAAGCCTTTTGAAAACAAATTATATCACCATTTTGTATCTCTGATTGTTTAAAAGTGTATTTAGGATTCATTTCTTCAATCATGCCTGGTTTGATTTCCTATAATGATAATATTAAATGATTTATAAACCCACTGCATAATTCTATAACATTTAATTTGCTTACCTCATATATTTTCAAAGGAACATTTAGTGGGAAATTTTTTCTTTTACAGAAAACATGAGTATAGTCTTCAACTTTAGCGAACTCTTGTACATATAAATGACCGAGTCCTCTATTGTGGTTAAAATATGTTAAAGTATATTTTTACTTCCAATTTACCGGATGAATGAATACCTTACTCTAAAGTTTGTGTATCAGGATCAAAATACTTGAGAAAAACAATTATATTAATATTCCAATTTTCTTCAACGTAAGGGAACCATGTCTACATATAATTTACAGTATAAATAGTATAAGTTTAAATCTAACATAAAATTTGAAAAAATCATAATATACAGTAAATAAATTATATACCTTTCCATTTATTAGTTTGTATGCTACCTCCATGTATAATTTCAATTCATTCTGCCGGGGAGCCATTTCTTTACGGATTTCCTCCATACCTAATGCAATGAAGTAAATTAAAAATTTACATTTATAACTTTAAAGAAGAAATAGGATACAATACTTTTATTAAAAGAGGATTCCGGTATTGGAAGATCGGGTCGAATGGTTTGATTCTGACGCTTTACAAAGACCCAGAATCGCACTTGTTCTGAAGGAATATTAAAACATTGAGGAACTTTTTCTTTAAAAGTGCCGTAAGTTGTATTTTCTAGGATCTTATATGAATGTATTTTAGAAACTGGAGGTTTTACAAAATTAACAAGATCAAATCCTTGATGCTTATTGAATTTTTCGGCAGTTACAACCTAAATACAAATAAATTGCTGTAAAACCATTATAAATAACAATAATATTCTTAAAAAAAATAAAATAAAAATACATTAACAGTAACAGTAACAAATGATGATAATAATTTATAAAACGTAGGAATTTCATGGATACGATTATCCTTAATGTGCAAATTGTTTCTAATAAGTTGTCAAAAATAAATTTCTTAATATTTCATAGTGTAAAATAATTATTAGTGACTGTATAATACATACTTCCAGTTTAATAAAACTTTTTGGAAACAAATTATATCGCCATTTTGAGTTTCTAATTGTTTGAAAGTGTATTTAGGATTCATTTCTTCAATTATGTCTGGTTTGATTTCCTATGAAGGTATTTATGTTAAAGATTTATAAATTACTATAATTCCATAAATATCATATGCTTACTTTATATATTTTCAAAGGAGTCTTTGTTGGAAAGTTCTTTCTCTTACAGAGAATACTAGTATAATCTCCAACTTTATCAAACTCTTGCACATATAAATGGCCCAGACCCCTATATTATAAATTATGTTAATATCTTTACCTTTAATATATTAGATAAATAAAATAAATATCTTACTTTAAAGTTTGTGTATCAGGATCAAAATACTTGAGAAAAACAATTATATTCCTAATTTCCTCAATTGTAGGGAACAATGTCTAAATTTATTATATTGATAATATATGCTTTTAACCCTAAAACAAGAAATTTGAAAGAATTATAACATATATGACAATTATATACTACCTTGTCGTTTCGTTCGTCTGTTTCTTCCATGTATAATCTCAAATCATTCTGCAGGGGAGCCATTTTTGCACGAATTTCCTCCATACCTATTATAATGAAATAAATTAATAATTTATACTAAAAATTTAAAGAAAGACTATAATATAATAAATACTTTTATTAAAATAAGATTCTGGGATTGGAACATCAGGTCGAGTTGTTTTATTTGTACGTTCCACTAAGACCCAGAATCTTATTTGTTTTGAAGGAATATTGAAAGTTTGAGAAATATCTTTTTTAAAAACATCATAAGTTTTGATTTTCTGAACCTTATATGTATGTACGTCAGAAAATAGTGAATGACGATCAAAATCGGCAAGGTCAAAACCTTGATAATCTTTGAAATTTTCAGCAGTAATAACCTTCATTCAGCTTAAAAATATTAGTAAGAACAGCTTTTCTTTAAGAAATATATATATATACATTTAAAATATTATTAAAAAATTACCTCGATAGTAAGTAATTTCTTTTCCATTTCTTCTTTTGAGCTGCAAAAAAACTTTTTCTCTTTCGTTATATGAATTATGAAATTTTTATCAGCTTTATTTTTATGACTAAGAAAATAATAAATTTATAAATTTATCAAGAATGTAAAAATTATAAAGGGATTATTTATTTGTAGTGCAAATTAAATGTCGTATTTGTTTACATAATACTTGAGTAACCTCAGTTGTAGATCTTAATCAATTTAAAAATTTACTTGTTTAACTTTATACTGGCAAGAGTAATAGCTATAAAAGTCATTAGAAAAAAAAAAAAACTTCTTCCCCAAATTATTAAAAACATAACAATTCCGCAGTAAAAATAATATTTTTACTCAGTTTTTTATTAATATGGAAGATAGTAGAAAATATCCTATAGCCGAACATAAATTTCCTTATGGGTCCGGCGACGAATATAATTTTTTATTAAAAACATATCACCATTTTATAAAATTTTGTGAAAGTCTAGCTTCTTCATTTTTTTCAGGTCATGACACAGAAGTTCAGCGTAATATACTGCGCTCTAATTTTGGCCTTTCAGATGAAGATATTAATAGTTGGAAAGAAAGGGCTTTACGCTACAACATGTCAACTGAAAGTTTCACATTTTTTCTACATATAGCAATATCCTCTGCGGTGGATGGTTTCCAAGCACGAAGGAAAGAATTAGAAACTTTTGTAGATCACGTGACTAAATATAG